GGAGAAGGATCTCCCTGGTTGGAGGGACACAGCAAGGTCAATGCAAAGGTGAGTATCGCTGGCACCCGTGAGCATCTTCTCACATGTCTGGGTCACTCACATCTCTTCCGTGAACTGTTTTCATCTCCTGCCCAATCTTCTGCAGGATACTCAAGCTTTCCATTTTCTTTGGCACCATCTTCCGTCGGATTTTCGCCCCTAACATTTCCCTGGAACTCCTCCCTGGGGGCCGCCGCTCATTGCCCCGTGCTGACAACCCAGAGGCCAGCTCTTGGTCCTTGTCTTACGCGGCTTCTCCGCAGCATTGGATGCAGCTGGCCACCCTTTCCTTCCCGGGTCTGTATCAGCTTCAGATTCTTCTTTGGTTTCCCTCTTGACCTCTAGAAACTCCTTGTCAACATCCTTTGAAGGCTCTGCCTTGTTTCTCAGCCTCTGAACCTTCGAGAGGCCCAAGGCTTGGGTGTCTCCCTCTGTTCACCATTCCATTCATGTGTCATCTGGCTTTAGAGGCAATCCACACACGGAAGCCTTCCAGGCATGATCGCCCTCTGAACCCCAGCATCACCGTCCATCCTCACTCTCTTCCCTGGGCTGTGGAATGGACATCTCCAAGAGAACACGCTCCGTGTCAAATTCCCGACTTTCCTCTGCATTCCTGCTCCTCTCCCGGTCTTCCTGCATCTCAGGATATATGGCAAGGTCACTCTTTCATTGGCTGAGGCCAAAAAACCCCAGAGTCGGCTTTGACCTCTCCTTGGCTTTCGTGTTTGACTGGCATGTCCTCAGCAAATCCTGTTGTCTATACCTTCAAACTAGGCCCCACATCTGGCCCTCCCTGGCCACCTCCGAGGCCACACCCCAGGCCAGCCCACCTTCTCTCAACCCCGTCACCTGCCAGCAGGTCTCTCTGCTAAGCACCGTGGCGTGTGAGCTCCAACGATGAGCTCTCGAGGCAGACCTACCCGGAGAGGTTGTGTACGTTAGCATGAAGAGATCTTAATTGAAACCCAAACCGGGCTCCACATGGCCGTCTTCCAAAGAGGTAAGTCATTATTGAAATAAAGAGGGTGTAACTGTCCATAAAGCCATGGGAGTAAATAAATTGACGGAAAAGTTTTCTGCGTTGCCAGGCTGCACTGAGGTCAGCGTAGCACTCAGCCCCTCACTGCCTGGCTCATCCCTTGTGCACGTGGAGGCCAGGGGCAGGCACCAGTGTCCCCACGGGGAATCTCAGAAATGGTTCAGGTGTGGCTCCTCAGCAGGTAGGGGATGGTGGGAGACTCTCCGGGCTCCCCACTGGGCTGGGAGGGGGGGCCAGGGAGCTAAATTCACCTGTTCTCTGCTAGTGGAACAGGAAAAATGTAACCATTCGTTACTTTTCTGCTATGCACATACTAATCTTGATTTTTTTTCCCCTTGGGATAGATTACAAAAGTAGAATTATTGAGTTAAAAGGTGTCGAAGAGATCTTTCCAAAGCTGGCCGTGCTCCGCCTGGTATTAGTCTGGATTCTCCAGAGGAACCAAAGGAGAGATAGGTCATAGATGGATAGATTTATTATAAGGAATTAGCTCACATAATTACGAAGGCTGAGAAGTCTCAAGATCTCCTGAGCACAAGATTGTTGGAGAACCGATGGGGTAAATTCCAATCCAGATGCAGAAGAGAGGCAGAGAAAATTCTCCCTTCCTCCACCTTTTGTGCTCTTCCAGCCTCCAAACGACGGGATGAGGCCTACGCACGCTGGGGAGGGCGATCTACGTTACCCGGTCTACTGATTCAAATGGGAATCCGGAAACCCCCTCACACACACACTCAGAATCACGTTCACTCAAATATCTGGACACTCTACGGCCTTGTCAAATTGACAGATCGGATTAACCATGGCATCACTCCCTAAAATTCTTCAGTGCCTGCCCCCCGGCCTGCTCGCAGAGCCTGCAGTATAAACCTCAGTTTCCTTGGTCGGCCCTATGGGGTCATTCACCATCTGGCCTGCCATTGCTCTCCACCCCAGACATTCCGGATTTCAGCTCCCTCCTCTTCGCCGAACCGTTTTTCTCCTAGCTTGTCCCCTTGGTGAAGGCCCACTGGTCGGTAGTGAGGGTTCTTGCTGATGCCTCAGGTCCATGCATCTCCACTGAATCTTCCCACCTCTCTGGTCCTGCCTGGAGGCCCAGGGCGGGAAGCCAGAGGAAGATGGTGGCAGGCATCCCGCTCGGCCATGGGCGAGGCCACAGTTTTGGCCAAGAGGTACGCTGTGCGTGGGTTTCCAGGTCTTCCTATTGGATCTGTCTCCTGGCCCAGGGCCCCAGGGCTCCTTCCTGAGTCCCGGGGATTGAAAATCAGTGAAGATGTGAGGCAGATGGACGGGAACCTCATAACATGCATGAGAGAGGGTGGCATGATGGCGCAGGTGAGGCCTGCTGTCTTCTGCTGCGAGGGACGAGGCATGGCTTCACCCCACAGGGCCCAAGGAGGGTAGCTGGAGGCAGCAGGTTTCTTCTGGAGTATGTATGAGACACCACAGGGCACTCCCGAATGGCGGGCCATTGCAGGGGCACAGACCCTCCACAAAAGGCAGGGGCTGGAGTAGAGGAAAGCTATGTGTCACCGCGTCTGTGTTTGCTGGAAGACCAGGAGGCCAGCTGCAGTTCCCTTGTCCCCCTGGCTTCTCCACACCCTCAGGAGGGAGCTCTGGGGGCTGGTGGATTCTGGAAGGCGCAGGCGGCGTCCCTGTGAGCCGAGAGTCCAGGGGTAGTGGCTTTGCCTTCCTGAGTCTCTGTTTTGTCACTTGCCAAATGGGACGGTGACAGCATCTACCCCACGGGGTTTGTGAGGCTGCGTGTAAAGCTCCAGGCTTGGGGCTCAGCATGGGTGACCGAGTTTCAGGGGCAAACGGGGCTTCCAGCCGAGGCACTCCCTGACTCCAGCTCTGGGCTGAGCTTTTCAGCTTCTTGCTTCCTTGGTCCCTCAATGGCTGTGTCAGCAGCTGAAAATTAAAGCCTGGGGCGTTGCTTGGGGGGTGCCCCTTCCTCGAGAATCTCCTATGAGGCCTATAGTGCTGGGGGTCCTACCCTGGAGGCTGCTAGGTGAGATGACCAGGCTTCTGCAGAGGCCCGGATGTGGCTAGGTTGCTGGGATAAGTCTCAGGTCATGATGGAGATGCCCTCGCTTCAGGAACTGTGGGGGGCAGGGGATGGTGGGGTACGTCTCCAGTGATACGCCATATGGGGTCAGGGGTCTCAGCAGACCCATGCATCACCCATGGGAGAATGAATTAATTCTGAATGCCAGCCAGGCCCACAAAGCCCGGTCAGGGATGTCTTCTTGTCCCCCCTCTACTCCTCCACCCACTTTTCCCTCTCTGGAGGGCTTGGAGGAAAAGCACGAAAAGAGACCACAGCCAGCACCTCTCCTTGGCCTCCTGGGCACAGTGCGACCACTAGGTGCCCTGGGGCCCCAAGGTCCCGATGCCTGCCTCATGGCTGAGCTGGGCTGTGTGTTGGGGGTCCGTATCACCTGGGCTTGGGCCGAGCCTCCCGGACATCAGTCTTGGCACCATCTAGGCTGCTGACCCTCACCCTGGTGCAGCACCCCCCTCCAGAGCCCCCGCCAGTCATGGAATCCAGCTGTTAGGACTGAGGCCAGGTCAGCAGGAGGATAAAGCGGCCTCTGCCGGGAAGGGCCATGCATGCAGGGGTGTGACTGAGGAATTGCGTGGCCATCAGCAGGGCGCCATCCCTGTTGGGGCTCTGAGGCTGCACCTGGCAAAGGGACCAATCCTCACCTGGGGGGCCAACAGGCAGGAGTCCGAGAGAAGGCCCTCCTCTTGGCTGCATTGGGGCGTCGACCCAACCACTGCTCAGATTAAGTGGAGAGCAGGTTCAAGGGCCCCCGGGTGAACTTGAACACAAACACTCAGCCAGAGCGCCTTCGTGGGGGCTCATCAGGGGCTGCCTCCCCCTCACCTGTGCAGCAGGGGTTGGGGGTCAGTCCCAGCCTCCCTGCCATCCTGTCTAGGCCCACTCTGCAGAGCCACTGAGGGGCTGGAGGGAGCAGGCATGGAGACGGGGTTGGGGGTGCGTGTCAGGAGTCCCTCCCCAGAGACCTCCCTTCTGACTGGATTGACAAAGTGGGGAAAAGCATGCCAGGCAGTGGGAATAGCATGGACAAGGCCACAGAAGCAGGAAACAGAGAACGGTTTCCTCGGGGGCCCAGCAGGAGCTAGGTGTAGCCTAAGGCAGGGTGGGAGCCCAAGTCTGGCTGGAGTCCAGTCCCTACTCCCCCTCTCTGGGGTCTCAGATGCAAAGAGGGTGGGCTGGTCCTGCTCAACCAGAACGTTCTCCTGCCTTCTGGAGCCTTGCCGAGGTCTTGGGTGCACTGGGCACAATTCCCCGAGTCAGAGGAGGCACCAGAAGTGTTGGCTGCTCTGTCTTTGCCTGTCCCTCATATGGGACCCAAGTCCATGCCACCAGGACAACCATGTCCGGCACTGAGGGGGGCCCAGGCACTGGCTGGGGTGGGTCAGTGTACCCCAACATGCACAGCCCCCTCTCCGCAGCAGGTCCTGACCAGGTGGGGGTGCACATCATACTCCCTGCCTTCCTGACCGGGGACCTGGTCCCTTGCTAGGTGCGGGCTCAGCAGCTGCATTGCCCGTCCCCTTCCTGGCACAGAAACCTGACTCGGTGCGACAGTCTGGGGGCAGGGGGAGCCCAAGGAGAGGAGCCCCACGGAGGGCTCCTCAGCCCCACCCCACTCCACCCCAGTAAGAGAGGTGTCTGGCCACATGTAGGCCTGTGTGTGTCTGTTTCCCAGGCCCTCTCAGCCCAACTTGGGATCTATGGAGTGGAAATGGCCACCACGTCCCTCTGCTGGCCCGAGGCTGCAGCATCCCCAGGCCTGAGCTGGAAGACCGCCCTGCATCCCAGCAGAAGCCGATCCCAGGCCCACGAGTGAGCGGCTGTGTGGACATGGATACGCAAGGTGGACGCACGTGTTTATACCAACTCTGAATTTTACAATGTACTGTACATGTTGTCATTTTTGTGACTCAGATTTGTCCCGTGACCAGTGTCACAGCCGTCACCAGAAAGCTGTCCCCTGATACCAGCAGGATCCGGAAAGGGGGTGAATTGAGCTGCAGAGCCCATCTTGGGGGACAGGGTTGGGTCCATCAGCAGAACGACAGGGGCCACTGGCATGGTGCCTGCTGCAGATGTGGGGGCTCCCAGGCCACCTGGGGACAGATGGGGGGGTCAGCCTCCGTGGCACTCATCACCCAGGGAGAGTGACACCGCAGTCACCCACCATGCTGGGGCAGTGCCACGTCCTTGTCCTTGATGGACAGACTGGCCAGCAATGTGACCCCCACCATCCCAAAGGCAGAGCCCCCCAGGCACGTGCTCCCCGCAGGTCAGGAGGCCCTGGGCCCTGCCCAGGGCTGAAGTTCCACGGAAGGTGGAGAAAGGTCTCCCGTGCTGTGTGGTTGTCAGGGCGGGCGCCAGCCCACAGGGTCACGGTTTACAAAGCAGTGAGGGGCCAACACCTCTGTTTTCTGCCGGGCCAGCTGCCACAGGGCTTTGGAAGGCTTCTGCTGACTTCCTCCTCTCCTCCTCCTCTTCCTCCTCCTCCTGCTTCTCACGTTTTCCCCAAAATAGAAGACCTGCAGATTTAAATATGCCCAGGGTGAGGACTGTACTTTGCCGGCTAGACAGGAGACTCCCGCCCCAGAGGGGCTCCGTACACCCCTCTTTTGGCTCAGTCGCCAGAGCCCACAACCTCGGGTCCACACCAGCCTTCACTCGGCTACATCTGCAGGCTGAACAAGCAGTAGGGGCTGCCTCACGTTCTGCCAAAAGACAGGAGGTTCCTGGGTCTGGACACACGACCTGACACCCCCTAGGGACAGCCTCCAGCCATGGGCGTGGGGCATGTGTGGTCTGCAATCCCAGCCTCCCTCCCACTTATAGCACTTGAGTTCTGCCCCCACCTACCCCTAGGAGCCTGGCCTGACCTACCCCCCTCCCTGTGGACCTGGGGACCCACAAAGCCCCTGGGCCCTGGCCTGGCCCCAAGCACCCAACTGTCTCCTCCACACACCCCAGCCCGTCCCCACCACCGTCTTGGCTCACAGACTCACCTTAGAGATTTCCACCTCTCTTTTTCTGTTTGGTTCTCTGGGCTCTCACTTTCATAAGAGGCCAAATAAAGACCTAGTCAGGAAGTGATGGGAAATTACACAGTTATGGTTGGTGATAAAATCCTGCTCTACACCCAAAGTCTGACCTGCTTTTGGTTCCTAAATTAAGCTAGCTGGGAGGGAATTTGTAGACTCCCATGCTGGTGTAGGAACCAATTACTACAGAGAGGTCAGTGTACCCTTCCCCTTGTTTCTCTCCACGGGAACCACTTGCAAAATTATGGCATGGGACCACTTGTGGGATGATGACGTTGTCAATCCCTGGGGATATCTGCATGGGTCTATTCTTCGGTTCTCTACTCTATCCCATCGATCCATGAACCTTGATCTCACCAATACCACATGGCCTTGAGGACGTTAGCTGTATTATATCAGCTTCACTACTGGGCAGAGCGATCCCTTCCGTTTTATTCTTCCTTTTCAAAACTGTTGCAGCTTTTCTAGCACCTTTGTCTTTCCATATACATTTTAGATCAGTTGTGCCTTTATCCCCAGAAAAATCCTGTCGGGATTTTGATAAGAAACACGCCAAATCAATCCTTAAATTTGGGGAGAAGAATTAGTGTCTTTGCTATGTGAGCCCTCCCATTTGTGAACATCCTGTCTCTCCCTTTATAAATAATAATTTAAATAAATAAATGAATAAATAAATAGAAATAAATAACAATCCCTTTGATTTCCGTCATCAACACTGTGCAGTTTTTGGCATACAAGCCTTAAACATATTTTGTTAGATTTACACCTGAGTATTTCTTGTTTTGGAGTGCTTATATTGAGTGATGAGATTCTATTTTTAATTTCAGTGCCTACATATTCATTGTTCATATGTTACTGATATATGTTCATATATATTCATATATACATTTCATTGTTAGAATAGAAATATAATAGGTTTTTGCATCTTTATCTTGTATTCTTCAACTTGTGCTGGGGAACCTGGGTAGCTCAGTGGGTTAAGCCTCTGCCTTCGGCTCAGGTCATGATCCCAGGGTCCTGGGATCAAGCCCTGCATCAGGTTCTCTGCTCAGCAGGGAGCCTGCTTCCCTTCCTCTCTCTCTGCCTGCCTCTCTGCCTACTTGTGATCTCTGTCTATCAAATAAATAAATAAAAATCTTTAAAAAAATTAAACAACAACAACAACAACAACAACAAAAAACTCATGCTGAACCTGCTTAATTCTAGGAGTTTTGCAGATTCCTTGGGACTTTTTACATTTTCTGTAAATAGGGACAGTATTAATTCTTCCTTTCTGACCTGTATTTTCTTTTCTTGCCTTACTGCATGGATTAGATCTACATTACTTTCTTGAATAAAAGTGGTGAGAGTAGATATTCTTGCCTTGTTACTGATCTTAATGAGAAAGCATTCAGTATTTCACCATTAAATATGTAAGTGGAAATGTTTTTGTAGATGCAATGTATCAAGTTGATAAATTGTCCTCTACTCTTATTTTTCTGAGAGTTTTTCCCATACAGGGGTGTTGAAATTTGTCAAATGCTTTTCCTATATCAATTGATATAATCAAGTGACTTTTCTCCTTTAGCCTGTTAATATGGTAGATCACACTGATTGATTTTTAAATATTGAACAGCTTTGTATCTCTGGAATAAACTCACTTGGTAATGGTATATAATTATGTTTTGGTATTGCCAAATTCTATTTGCTAAATTTTGTTAAGAAATTTTTTGCATCTATATTCACAAGGGATCTTGGTCTTTACTTTCTTCCTTTTTTTACTGTTTTTGGTTTTGGTATCAGGGTAATACTGGCTTCATAAAATGAATTGGGAAGTCCCTTCCTCTTCTATTTTTTGAAAAAGATTGTGCAGAATCAGTATTAAGTCTTCCTTAAATGTTTAATAGAATTCTCTAGTTTAACCATCCAAAGTCAGAGATTTCATTATTGGGTTGTTTTAGAATTACAGATGCGAGTTCCTTAATGATCACAGGGCTATTCAAATGATCTACTTTGTGTCGAGTTTGTTGTAGTTTGTGTTTTTTAAGGAATGGGTCCATTTCATCCAAATTGTCAAATTAATGTTTGTAGAGTTCATAATATTTCCTTATTAGCTTTTCAATATTGGCAGAGTCTGTAGTGATATTCTCCATTTCAGTCTTGATATTAGCAATGTCTGTCTTCTATTTTTAATTTGTCAAGAGGTTCTTTGCTGGAGGATAGCAATGTTACAGTTCTTTTCAAAGGACCAGCTTCCTGCAGGCTACCAGAACAGTTTTTAGAATTCCATATTGAATTATCTGAAGTAAATTCCCAAAGGATATTACCACTGGCTATGGAATTCTGGGTTGGCAGTTATTTTCTTGCAGCCCTTGAAAACTATGCCCCTGACTCTGGCCACTGTAGTTTCTGATGAGAAATCTAATGTCATCCAAATCGTTTTGCCCCATAGGTAAAGTGTCATTTTCCTCTCAGTGCTTTCAAAATTTCTTTTTCATTGGTTTTCAGAAATTTGACTATGATATGTATCCTGGTGTGGGTTTCTTTGTATTTATTCTCTTTGGGATTCATTAAGCTTCCTCAATCTGTAGGTTTATACGTTTTCCAAATCTGAGAACTTTCCAGCCATTACTTCTTGGATGATTTTTTTTTTTCAACCCAGCCTGTTTTGTCCCCTTCCTTCCCAGACTCTGATGACAAGAGTGTTAGATCTTTTGTTGTAATCCCACAGGTCCCTGAAGCTCTGTTGTTCAGAACATATAATTTCTATTGTTCCATCTCATCAGTTCTTTCCTTTGTCCTCTCCATTCTGCTTTTGAGCCCACCCACTTAAGTTTTTTGTTCATTATTGTATTTTTCAGTTCTATAATTTCCACTTGGTTTTTCCTTATATCTTCAGGTTTTTTTGCTGATACTTTCTATATTATCATTTATTTCAAGGAGCCTCAAGGCTGACTGGATTGCTAGGTGGGTCCTGCCAGGGGGAGCCTGCAGCAGAGCGCAGGACAAGATTTCTGTCAGAGGCTGTGACTGACCTAGTTGGGGCTCAACCCAGCTTAGGTCCCTTCTGTTGCTTTCTCCACTTTTTTCAGTGGGGGAGGGAGAGGAGGAAGAAAGGGTCACTGGAAGGTACTCCTTTCTAAGAACACTTCAGAAAGGCCAGGGTTTGTATGTCTATAGCCAAATCACTGCCTTGCACACAGCAGGCTCTCTAGAGATACTTTTGGCCAAAGGAGGGAATGAAATGCCCTTCTATCACTCCTCTCCCTCTTCCTAATGTCTTCCCCTCCCTTCTGTCACTCCTCACCCTACTCCTAATAGGTCTTTGACACATTTTATTGCCCAACTTCTATTGGCTAACAACAGCAATCATCCCAATGTTGTAGACTGCATAATAGTTCTCAGAGATATGGATCCTAATCCTTGGGACCTGTGAATATTTACGTCCCATGGCCAAAAGGGACTCTGCAGATGGGATTAATTCAAGGATCTGGAGGTGGAGGGATTATTCTGGATTATCCAGAAGGGCCTTAAATGCCACTGCAAGTGTCTAAGAGGGAGACAGAGGGAGACTTGACCACAGGAGGGCAGATGATGTCATGGTGGAAGCAGAGGTTGGAATGAGTTGCTTTGAAGGTGGAGGAGGGGGTGATGAGCCAAGGAATATGGGCGGTCACTAGAAGTCCTAACAGGCCAGGAAACAACCCTCCCCTTAGAGCCTCCAGAAATAACCAGTTCTGCTGACACCCTGAGATCAGCCCAGAGGAACTGATTTTGGACTATAGCCTCCATAAGTGAAAGAGGATAAATGAGAATTGTTCTAAGCTACCCTGTTTGTGGTGATTTGTTATGGGCCCAGTAGGAAACGAACACAACTAGTATCAATTGAGTGTTGTCCTATGAACTTCGCTTGTGCCAAGTCAAGTAATTCTCACAGCAGTCTAGGAAGCAGGTCCTCTCATTACCCCACTTTGTAGATGCAGGTGATGCTTAGAGAGGGTGAGGCACTCGCCCCAGGGTCACACAGCTTGCTGGGGTGGGAGCAGCTCAGGCTGCTGGGCTTCCAGTTATGGGTGAGACCCTTCTAAAAAGTTACTGGCTCTAAAACATACAAAATAAAATGGTAAATTCAAAAGTATTAACAATTAAAAGCAAGATCATTAAAGTAATCCTTTCCCTCAGTCTTTCTTTCTGGCAGAAAACGTTCTCCTGAGCACGAGTGTGGAATCCTTTCATAAAACACTTGCTGTGAAGAGGAGCCAGGCCTCCTTTGTGCTCAGCAGGACCTCCCAGGGTGGGCTGAGGGTCTTGGAGCCAGAAAGCAGCTAACCATGGGGCCACACCGCCTCCACTGGGATGATCAACTCAAGCCCGGTGACCACTTGCTTCTAGCACTTTCTCTTCCTGAAGGAGGGGGCTCCTGGAGTATGCTTGCTTAGCAAATTCATAAGCAAATTTGTCACATTTGATAACTGATCAGATGGGAATACTGATTTACTGGAGGGGACAGACATGAATGGCACTCTGGAGAAAAGACGCCTGATATCATTCTATGTGTGCATACACACACACACCCAGCTGTGGAAGGACGCACAGTGAGCTCGCCTTCTTTGTGTGAGCACTGGAAGGGGAGTTCTCATCATTGTGCCAACTTTACCCATGAGGAAAGTGGGTCAGACAGATGGTTTACATTTATGATGCCCAACAGCATCCATACCGTGTCCAAGGGGAAGCCTGGCCCTGGGGACCCTTGAGGTCCCACCCTGCAGCTCCTTGCACCCTGTCTTGTGCTCTGGGGGTGGCAACCATCCAGCCAGGGGATGCAGCCTTCTCTGCTCCCTCTCAAATCCAGAAAACACAGGTACGGTGCATTCTGCTCAGAGCAAGGGCTCCAAGTGGAGACATGGCAAAGAGACCACCCAAGAGTCCCAAAGCTGGGGGTGACAGAGGCCATGGGACCACCTTACCATCCTCGCTGAAGATGGGAGCGGTATGCAGGTAGTGGGTGATGCTGGGGTCTTGCTCAAAAGGACACTCCACTTGTTTCCATGTGATGAACTCTCCAACCTGCTTGGCCAGCTCCAGAAATTTCTGCCAGGGTCACAGAGACACAGAATGGGAACCCCCTCCCCAGTGCCTGGAGGTCACCTGTGAGAGCGGGCCAGCCCCACTCATCTTTCCTAAGGAGGCCCACCTTTGGGAAGGGCAGGGCGAAGCATTCCCATTGGGAATGCTGAGTGTTTCCTATGTCTCTTCATTCCCTCTGAGGAATATCGGGAGCGAGCATCTAGGACTCATCATCAGCAGGCAATGCATTCAGCTAGACCTGAATATTACTCTATTTTCTTTCTACTTATGTTTGTGATCATTCCTACAGGTTTGTTTATTTAGAGAATGATGCAAATAAATGTACTTAAATGTATTTAAAGAAGATTTAAGTAAACCCATTTAAGTAGGATTTTTATTTCAGTAAAATTTAAGTAAATTTATTTAAACTACAAAGAACTACTGTTAACTTAAAGTAGGATTTCAAATAAATAGCAGCACCAAGTCATGACTGGGTGGAAACCATCCTTGGGGGCATCCTTTGGTCAGTCCTGGCAGCTGACTCCAGCCCCCACAGCCCATGCCCCAAATCTGGGGCCACATGACCACCTATCCCTCGGCCTCGGTTCTGAGGACCAATTCAAGGAGGGCCCAATACCGGGCTTCTCACACCAAGTATGTGCAACCTCTTGGGGACAGTGCAATCCCAGGCCCCTGCAGTCTCCCTCAAGCCCAGCCCAGTGGAGTGTCACTCCATGTCACCTCCAGCACGGACTGCCCCAGGGATGCAGCGCCTGGGCAGCCCTCATGGGGAACCAGGCCTGCATGCGGCATGGGAAGGTCTGCTGGCGGGTCTGTGTCTGTGTGAGGCCCCATAGCACATGCAACTCCAGGCCAAAAGGCCCAGGCATTGGATGGGGGCCACACTGGCAAAGGAATGTGGCAGGGCAGCTGGGATTGAAGTCCCACTTTATGGAGGGAGAGACTGAGGCCCAGAGAGACCAAGGGGCCAGCCCAGAACCTGATTGCCCCATGGTGTTGGGGGCTGGGTGCACCAGCCCTCCTGAGGGAGAAGAGTCTCGTCCTTCCTGCGGACTGGGGGGTGCCACTGTTGCATGGCATGCTTCGTCTGACTCAGTGACCGCTTGCTATCGCTGCCCAGTGCTCTCAGGCTCCCAGGCCTTGGCCCCATCATACCTAGCCCACCAGCCACTCCAAGACATGTGTGCCAGGTGGTCCCATGTGGGAGGTCAGCCTGGCTTTGCCTGGACTTTGCTTGGGAGCTTTGCTAGGGGACTGTGAGGAATGCCCAGCCCACTGAGCACAGGTCACAGAGGCCTCCCTCTGTCTGGGTGGTCAAGGGGAGACTCTTGGAGGAGGGGACACTTGAAAACTTGAGCTGATGGCAGTTGAGTGCCTTCAGAGGGAATAGAAAATCTTTCTTCCCCTCTGCCTGCTCTGCCTGACCTCCTCTTCTGGGGCTTAGGGCCCCTGCTTTGGGAGGTCTCCCCTGACCCAAGCACGCCCTGTGTCCCATCCCAGCACCTTGCCCCATGTCACTGTGGGTCTCTGGGGCTTTCTCCTAGCCTGGTGCTCTTCAAGGGCTGAAAATGAGTCTGCCTCACCTGTGGGTGGGCAGTGGGGGATCAGTCAGCCTCGTCTCCTCCTATGGAAGGGGTGGGGTCGGGGGACCCTGATAATTCCGCCCTGGTGTCTTATAAACTGCAGTACTCTGCCTCAAGTCCCCATTAGTCCAGCATTCCTGTCCTGGGGCCTTTGACCGTCCAGGCCCCCGGACCCTACCTCAAAGTTGACATGTCCATTGGGGAGGCGGTTGGCGCAGCCCTCATTCAGGAAGTAGATGTCTTTGATGAGCAGGCTGAAGAAGGGAATGACGATCTGGAAGGGGGAGGGTGCTGATCAGCCCTCAGTCAGCAGGGGCCAGTCTGTTTCCTCCCAGGCCCCATCAGACTCCAGCGCTCATTGAGCGCCTACTGTATATGGTGCCATTCTCCCTGTGTTGGGGCTGGGTGAAAGACACACGGTCTCAATGCTCCTTGAACGTTTCTTCCACTGTCTGCCGGGAGAGGCTGTGACAGTTTGTCCCCACAATGCAGGGATCCACAGACCTAGGCCTCCTGGTTCAAGTGCTCTAGGAGGAACACAGGTGTGTGCTGAGCCCGCCACTAAGTACACATGGGATGGGAATCAGCTGTCGCACAATTCTGTGGCCTACTTTTCAAAATCTATATTTAATGATCTGTCATTTTATGCCTGATGCTGGAGATCCGATCCTGCCGTATCCCTGCTCCAGGGCCTGAGGCGACTGGCTTCTGTGCTCCACCAGAGAAGGGCGGGTGTCTCTGTGTGTCACTGTTGGATGCCTTGCTTCTCCCTCCCTGCTCTGTGTAAGCCCACGGCTGACCCTCAGAGAAGGGACGCTCACTGCCTACGGCTCAGACAGCCCTCGGGGAGCTGGCCAGGTGAACACTGCTGCTGCGGGTTGAACTGCGGCCCCCCAAAAAGATATATTCCAATCCTAAGCCCCAGTGCCTGTGCACAGGACCTTATTTGGAGATGGTCTCTGCAGACGACATTGAGCTAAGATGAGGTCACACTGGGCGTGATGTGCTCTACTCTAGTGACTGAGGTCCTTGAGAAAAGAGGGCAATTTGGGCATACGCAGCAAAGAGAGCCATGTGAAGACAGGCAGAGGCAGGCGGGGGTGACCGGCCACTGGCACAGGAATGCCTGGGGCCATCAGAAGCTGGAAGGGCAAGCAAACTTCCACCCTTTGGAGGGAGCATGGCCCTGACAACTTTGATTTTGGCATCTGGCCTCCAGAATGGGGAGATAATACATTTCTGTTGTTCCAAGCCACCTAGTTGGTGTGCTTTGTATGTCGGCTCCACGGGACTAAGACACCTGCTCAGCCCTTGGGCTCCAGAGCTACTCACCTCCTGCCAGGCCAGCCAGGAGTGGCCTCCAGCCTGTCACCCCTGGGACCAGGCACCGGGCCCTGACGTTTCTGGCTCTCCCTCCCCCCACCATCCAAGTCAACAAGGGCTTTGAGGTGAGGGCCTGGGCATGACCACATGGCACAGTACAGGAGCAGGGAGTCCTGGGATGGGGCAGAGGGGATGGGAAACTGAGACCCGCAGAGTGGCAAGGCCTAGCCCAAAGTCAGGGGCTGGGACTAGAGCCAGATTCAGTGGGGAGACCAGCTGCCTGGTTGGTCCAGGACTGAGGGGGTTCCTGAGGGCAGTTTCACTGCTCAAACTGGAACAGTCCCAGGGAGACCAGGACACACTATTCGCCCTGCATGTATGTCAACGGCACAGACAGTAGCTCGGGTCTTCACTCTGCCAGGTGCTGGGGCTTGGGAAAGTAGGGAGTGTCAGACACATCCAGTACAGCGGGAGACAGTCCCAGGACCCACCTACAAAACGAGCCTCAGCGGGGAAGTCTTTGCCACCCACACGCTGGGTATAGTCCCCCTCCGTGCCGCTCAGGAGGCCTCCCCTCACGCCCTTGTCATGCGGCATTGGTGGTGGGCCTGAGGGCGGCACTGTGCCAAATATTACATGCATGGGGATCAGAGTTTCATTCCCAGGAAGTTCCGTGAAGCAGGGCTCTGTTAGCCCCCATTACGGACAAGAAGACAATACCCAGAGAGGTTAAGCCACTCACATATGCTCACACAGCAGTAAGAAGCAGAGGACCCTGATGGCTTGGTTCCACAGTCCCTGTCCTGTGGGCTTCCTCACCGTGCCTGGAGGGAGGGTGGTCTCTGTGCATCTCCCCCACCCCCACCACTGGCATTACACCCCAGGCCCAGGGTTGGTACACGATGGCTGCATTGGCTTGGAAAGGGGACATGGGCCAGGACAGGGAATGGATTAAGGGCAGTGGGACCTGTGGACAGAGACAGCTCCTGGGGGGCCCGGTGCAGGCTTCCTGCATGCTGTGCACTGGGGCTGGTCTTCAGGGGGGTAGTGTTTTCCATGTCTGAGAACCTTTAACCATTTCTGCCTGTCCACGTAGGTCCAGGCTACCATCCTATCAGGCTCTAGAATACTAGCTGGCAAGACTGTAGCCCACTGCCCTTGCTATCTGGAGCTGAGCAGTTCCATCTAGGGGTCATCCAAGAAAGCCTGTGTGGAGTGGGCCCCACCACAGAGATGGGGGGAGAGGAGCAGACAGGAACCAGCCACAGGCAGGAAGAAAGCACAGAATGCCATGACCACTGGAGCCTCCTGGCCTCAAAATTTCAGCTGGGAACTACAAAAACATCTGCAAGCATCCTTGCTCCCCTGGCCCTTTTTTCCTTTTTTCTTTCTTTCCTCCCTCCTTCCCTTCTTTCTCTCCACCCAGCCATCCATCCATCCTCCAATCCCCCACCCATTGGTGAACACCTCCTGTGGGCCCAGTCAAGGGTCCATATCTCTTTGGAGGTTAGAGGAGAATGCAGCAAAATGAAATAAACGCACAGCTCTGTAAATCACCCACCTCTAGTCCCACACCTAAGCCACAGCATCACCGTACCCCCGAGCTGGACAGAGGGATTTAGTGTGCAGGAACAGGACATCCCAGTCTGCCCCACAGCCACCTGGCCAGCACAGATGGAAGAAAAGGCAGTGCCCCAGCTGACATCCCAGATCAAAGGCTGAAGCCAGCTCTGTACACCCCCACCTGCAGCCCAGCTCCTGGGCCACCTGCCAGCAGCTCTGTGACTGCCACATGGCCCCTGTGCTTCAGGAATGGGAGGCAGAGGTGTGCCGGAAAGGCTAAGCCTGATTCTTGGCCCTGCTGCCTACTTGCTGTGTGACTGGACAAGCGAGAGCTCCTCTCCAAGTCTTCTAACCCGAGAAACGGCACTGCCAGACTCTATCAGTAGTCATCAGAATGAAGTGGGGGGGGGGGACAGAGTCAAGGGGCCCCAGGTGATAGGTGCTCAATAAGGCAAGATCACTGTCCCTGACACTCTGGCCTTCCAGCTTCCTGGCCCCTGGGGGGACAGGCTCGCTGGCCCTGGGGGTTGAGGTCTGGCCTCACTAAAGGCTGCTCCCCAGCATCAGCCATCCTCAGACCCAGAGCTGCCGAAGGGCTCACAGCCTGAGCAGGAAAGGCCAGCTGCCTAGCATGTGGCCACCAGTGTGGCCAGGGTCTGTGGGCAGCCCCCCTGATGGGCGGGGGGTCCAAGGGGGCCTGTCTCAGCCTGCTCACCCAGCCTCACCAACCCCTGGTGCCCAACCGATCCAACTGCAGAGTGACTCTGAATTTCAAGAAAAGCAGCTTCTTCTGTTATCCCTCGGGCCGGACACAGGCCTGTGCAAACCACAGCACAAACCTAATTCCACTGACATTCCTGCCAAGAGACCAGGCCAATGAGGGACAGCAAGCCTCAGCGGTTCCTCCCCATGGAAACGACAACTCTAATAGTCAGGGTGGGAAGGGTTCTAAGAAAGAGGCTCACTGCCATCCCAAGGCACGGTTTCTGGGGCAGGAGGCCACCAGAGAATTTGGGAGACAAATAAAATTGACCAGGGTCAGTGAAGGCACCTCCCCCACTCCAAATGCAAATGTAGAACAACAGAGGCTGTGAAAAGGCAGTTTTAGCAAGTGAGAGGCTCAGTTCACTCAGTGCCAAAAATGTGACTGTGATCTAAGGCTCCATTAGTGAAGGTCTTACATTTGGAGTAAGGAGGTGGAAGACACTATGCACTTGGAGACAATGTGATCTGAAACAGAAGGGACTCTGATAAATGAAACTGTTCAGGGACCAAAGAGATCCAAGTGGGGAGGGGGCTGGAGACCGGAGTACAGCAGAGGATCGGGGGCAGGCCTGGGCTGTTGATTTTGAAGGCAGGAAGGGGTCTAGGGGTGGTGCTGAAGGACAGGTGGGTAGAAGAGGGAAGGGGGGCCTGGGTGGCTCAGCTAGTAGCTGAGTGTCCGACTTGATTTCAACTCAGGTCATGAGATCGAGCCCCACATTGGGCTCCACGCTCAGCAACGAGTCTGCTTGAGATTCCCTCTCTCTCCCTCTGCCCCTCCCCCTGCCCGTGTGCTCTCTCTTTTAAAGAAAAGTTAAAAAAAAAAAAAAAAAAGGAAAAGAAAAAGTGGGAGCACCCTCACTCTGCATAGTGCTCCAGGGAGGACAACCCCAGCTCGATAAAGAAGCACTTCCTACCAGTGAGAGCTGCGTGGGCATGGGCTGATCTGTTCTGTGCGGTGGTGAGTCCCCCATATTAGAGGCATGCAAGGAGCATGGTTGTCTATACAGATGCTGCAGAAGGGCGGGGGGTGGGTGGACCAGGTGACCTGGGAGTCGGCATCCAGGCTCTCTGATACAGCCCACCTGGGGCCGAGGTGGGGGGGGGTTAGGCCGGGCAGGTCTCTGACTTACCTTTTCCCGGCTGCTGTGGGCAGTCAGGGAGCGGTGGGCTGCCCCCCGCAGGGCTGTCCTGTAGTTGCAGAAATTCCCAGTTGGGTCCATCTGGTGCTAGAAGGGACACAAGGAGGCATTGGGGCAGCTGCATCCCAGGGCTGGCCAGGGCCGGCCGGGAGCCCAGCAGCCTTGCTCACCTCGAGGATGAAGAACTTGGCCGTCTTCACTTTGGCCCAGGTCTTCTTCAGCCTGGAGACGGGGCTCATGTTCATGCCAGCTGGAAGAGGAAGGGTCGAGCTGGGGCAGGGGAGAATCTCCGGGCTGCACCGGTCAGCTTACTCCCTCGGGCAGGGGGTCTGGGGATGGCCCCAGCAGGCCAGCCCCTCTGGCTGCCCCTGACCAAGGCTAAGCCTGCTGCAGACAGCCACATGGGGAGTGGGTGGGTGTTGATGGACACTGTGTCCCGGAGAGCCTGGCTGCTGTATGCACAGGCTCCTGTTCCCACACCATGACCAGGGTCTGCTTTGGGTCCCCGTTCTCCCTGGATCTGGGGACACATGGCCAAGTCCTCATAAAGTCCCCTGAGGAGGTCAAGCTTGCCTCAAAGTGGGGGCCCCTCTCCAGGACCTCTGGGCCCAGCAGCACCTGCCCTGCTCTGAAGAGTACCCTGGCTCGCACCCTGCCCACCCGTGGGTGCCCGCTCCAGCCTCTCTGGGGGCGCTCCCAGCAAAGACCAGGGCCCGCTGGCCTACTCACAGATGATGGCCATCAGAGAGTTGAAGTTGCCAATGTTGAAGCACTCACGGGCCACATCGATGAAGAACTCCACCACCTGGGCCCTCTGCTTCTTCTTGGCTGGCTGGGGACAGAGCAGCCGAGCCTCAGTGGGGACAGTCCCAAGTGCGTCATGGGACCAGTCCCTTGTCACCGTTCTCACAGCCCTGTGCACGGCCGAGTCGCCTGATGCTGGGGCAGTCTGCAGCCCGAGGGCTCAGGGTCTCAGCATGCCCTGGGCAGGCTCAGCAGAGCCCACATGGGGCAGAGGAGCTGCCTGCCATGCTTGAGACACCGATCTGCCCTCCCTCCGGGTCCGGTTCCAGCACTCTGTCCTTCCTGTCCCCCCGCAGCACCATGCTTGCTCTCCCCATCCTGGGGCCACACGCAGACCCAGGCCCTGTCCCCAGAGCAGGCCCTCCCCTGTTTTCTGTCGAATGACTGCGTGATCTCACCCCCAGCTTATGGCCAAGTGCTTGGGACTGTGACTTCTCCCACGGCCTCTAACAAACCGTGCCACCCGCTGGGCTGTCTTGTGCTGAGGCACTTCCCAATTCCCCGGAGGGTTCAATCCCGTTCAGTCCAGCTTGGCCCGAGCAAAGCCCCCTCTGGGCTGCCAGGCCAGAGATGGAAATGCAGGGAGAACCCTGGTGTTCTTGCTTGCTTACTTCTGCCCCACACTGGTCTTTACCAAGAAGAGTGAGACACACTGCCCAAACCCCCTTGGAAAGCCTCCCCACCTGAGGTCCTTCTGTCCTTCCCAGGGAGTCTGCACAGTGACAGCGATGGCCTAGCAAGGAGGGGGGCCAGAGGCCAAGCATTCCAGCTGCTGGTGGCCCTCAGCAAGAAGCACTCCCAAGGCCAAGGCATCGCAGACTAGTTTCTTCTGAGTGGCCCTGCTTCTGCCCCTTTCTCTGTTACTCCAATTTCTATCTCAGCATTTGCTCCCAGAGAGCACCAGTTGGCACTTGTGTTGCCTCCAATCTTTCCTGGATACAAATGGCACCAGGGCTTCACCCGATGCTGACAGGGGGCTTGGAGGTGGCTCCCTGCCCTCCAAGGAAGAGAAGAGGGCAGACAGGGTCTGGCCCTGAAGGATCATGCCTTGGTGACACGTGCCTCTGTCTCAGTACTGACAAGACATCCTGCTTTCTGGCAGAAGCTGGAGACCTGAGCTTTGCATGTGCAGTCTCCCAATTCTTACAGGTTGGTCTTGCAATGTTGGTCCATTTCTACTCTAAATCCTGAGAGCCAAGCTCGGCATGGCTGTAGGCCAGGTCCCCCAAGGCAGACAGGCACAGATGGAGGGAGCAGAGCCACCTGGCAGAGCAGTATACCACTTCTCAAACCCTCAGCAAGTGGTCTCTGATGTCCCATGCTGGAGTCCAGTGGATCCGTGCCAGGCTCTGCCCAGAGGAAAAGGTCACTGCAGGCAAGCTGGGTGACACCGGCTATCCCAGAGAGGTGTCCAGCTTCATCCTGGCCTTGGACACCAACAGGCTCAAGATACCCTTCTGATTCCCTCCCAGGTGGGTCCCCCCAACCCCTGTCACCTCGGGCTATGCTAGGTCATGTCCCCGGCCACCCTGGGCTATGCTAGGTCATGTCCCCTGCCACCCTGGGCTATGCTGGGTCATGCCCCCCAGCTTTCAACGCACCATGCAGATCTCAGTCGCCACGAGGTAGCACAGTCTGTTGAACCATTTCACGTAAGCCTCCAGATTGTTGGTCTTGTCACTGAAACAAGGCTGGGAAAGACACAAGGACCACACTCAGCCTTGCTGTCAATAACTTTTGGAACATTAAGTCAGTTCATTGATCATTCTCATAGATCATCAGGAAAATGCTGGGACCTCAAAACTGTCCACAAATACCCATGATTTGATATCTATCCTTCAGGTCTTTTTCCTATACATTCAAAGATGTAATTTCATATGATATATATATATATATATGTAAGTATGTATGTAAATACACACCTCCCAACACAGCTGATTGTCACTATTCATGGATTCTGTATTTGTGAATCTGTCTGCTTCCTCAAAATACATTTGTAACCCCAAATCATTACTCATGTCTCTTTCACTGTCATTCATGGTGCAGAGTGGCATGTCCCCCAGAGTCACCCAAAGTGCCTGTGTGTTCCCAGATGAGGCTGAGCTAAGTGACAACGTGCCTTCTTGTTTCAGCGCCTGTACCATGAACAACTGTCTTTTTTTGGTGGTCTATTCAGTGTGATGGTGGGTTCCCTGCTTAAAGCGGCTTCAAGCACAGTGCTGTAGTTCCTAAGCACACGACAGCTGTGATGGGCCCTGAGGAGAAAAATGTGTTAGATAAGCCGCACCTACACATGAGTCATGGCGCTGCTGGCTATGAGTTCAATGTCACTGGAAGAACAAGATATATTAAATAAGGTGTCTTTGAGCCAAAACACATACAGTGCAAGGCTGTGTAAGGACTGGCAGATGCAAGTGTGGTTGGAAGGCTTACAAGGAACCTAAGTCTGTATTTCCCTTGGGAGCAGTGGTATTTGCTAATTCCATGTTCATGATGACATCATGGGATATAATCAATTCCCATAAGTAATGACAGTCAACTGTATGTGTGTATCCTTCTATCTGAATACAACCATATATCAGGAACTGTTTCCTATGCCATAAAATAGCTTTTGGATATATAATTTTTCAATTGATGTAGATATTCAACTGCATAAATGCATGAGAGTTTAAAAGGTTAAACCTAACTTAAATATCTACATTGAAATTGCAAGTGTGACCTTCAATACGTAGAGGGGAAGATGGAATGGGGGATCCACTAATCTGAAAAAGTAAAGGAAGGAAGGGAAAGGACAGAGCAGGGGCAGGAAGACAAGCAAAGGCCCCGCACAGAAGGTGGTAAAACCTAATCCAGGTACGTTGGTGATTATAATTGCTGTAAATTTAAAACTCAAGCTACTTGCCATTTTCAAGTGGCTTGCCCCAAACCCAAAGATATATAGGTTAAAAACATTGAAATATATATATGATGAATATATGAGTATATTCATAGCTATACGAATATTAGACAAAATAGATTTTTAAGGGGAAAAAAAGACTCTAAGGCAAAAGGCATCAGAGGAGATTCAAGGGGAACCACATAATGATAAAAGGTTTAATTAATCATGAATATGTCACAAATCTAACCTTGCTTGTGCCCAACAAAATAGCTTCAAAATATGGAGGCAAATAGTCAGAAAGGTTTAACTCCTTTAGAGGGAGAAATCAAATCTTATTGCCACAATGGAAGATTTTAACACAAGGTCAGCAATTCATAGATTATAGAGATTAAAAAAAACAGTATAAATATAAATTTGAGCAACACAACTTACAGAGTTGAATTAACAGACAACTACAGAAGCCTGCTTGCACTCAACCATATGAAAATGTGTATTCTTTACAAATAGTCAGAAATCTAAAAGCACATTTTAAAATAATCTATTGGTCAAAGACAAAATCATCATGGAAGTTAAAATGAGAATGTTGAAAACAATTATGAGGGTGCAAATAAAAAACATATTTAGAAAGAAATGAATAGTCTTTCATACTTTTATTAGGATGGAAGAAAAGATGAAAACAGGCTGTGCATCCAACTTAAAAAATTAGAAAAAGAATAACAAAGAAAGAATCCAAAGAAAGCAGATGGAAGGAAATAATGAAGATGAGAGAAAAAAAATGAAATTGTAAAGAAAGATGCAACATATAGAATCAACAAAGCCAGAAGCTCTTTATTTGAAAAGACTAATAAAGTTGATGAACCCTTAGCAAGACTGGTGAAGAAACAGAGAGAAGTAAATACAAAGAATATTAGAGGTAAATATGAATGTGAAAAGAGTGAAAAGATAACTAGAGAGTATTGTGAATAACTTCGAGTCTACAAATGTGAAAACTTAAAGAGGACTGAGTCAAATTTCTGGAAAAATAGAAATTAAAAAGTAGAGTAAAGAAGAAACAGAAAGCCTAAATAGTCCTATGATCACTAAAACAAGGAAAATCTTGAATGGGTACATAAAAGTCTTCCCAAAAAGGAAATGGCAGGCTCGGATGGTTCACTGGAAAATTCTCCCAAATGGTCCAGGAACAGGTAAGTCTTTCACAGAGAACAGAAAACAGGGAGAAAGCAAAGACAAGAACAGGAACAGAAAGGAAAATGAAAAGTCAACCACATGATTCTAGTTGCAGAAATCCTAAACAAAACAAGAGCAGACAGCCTGAGGATGTACATAAAGATAAGGATTGCAACCCAGTTTCATTTATCCCAGAAATGCAAGGTTGGCTCAACACTGAAAAAGAAGAAAACAACTAATACAGTAGTTCCCCCCTTCTCCATGGCTTGTCGTTCATGGTTTCAACTACCTACCATCAACCACGGTCCGGAAGCAAGATGATCTAAGACTACATCACGGTGCCTATGTTGTTCACCTCACTTCATCTCCCCACATAGGCATCTTACCATCTCACATCATCATAGGGAGAAGGGTGAGTACAGCGTAATAAGTTATTTTGAGAGAGAGAGAGAGGCCACATACACATAACTTTTATTAGAGTATACTGTTATAATTGTTCTATTTGATTATGAGTTATTCTTATTAATTTCTTACCATGCCTGATTTATAAACCTTATCATAAGCATGTGTGTATAAGAAAAAGTGTAGTATGTACAGGGTTCGTACCATCCATGATTTTGGGCATCCACTGGGGGGTTTGGAACATATACCCCACAGATAAGGAGGGGGACTACTGTATAAGTAATTACTTAACGGTTTAAAAGAGAACATAAGGTTAATAGACCCAGAAAAAGTAGTCAATAAAATGCAACGATTCATGATAAGAACTCTCATCAAAGTAGGACCAGGGGACTTCCTTGAGCTGATAAGGACATCTAGGGGGAAAAAATCTCATAGCAAACATCATACTCTATTGTGACATGCAAAAAGCATTCTGTTTAAAATCAGAACAAAAGAAGAATGCCGGCTAGCAACACTTCCTTTTATCATTTTGCCAGAAGTACTAGTTAGCACAATAAGCAAGAAAAAGAAATCCTATTGGTCAGACTTAGCAGGGTTATTCTGCAATAACTAGTTATCCCAACATTTCAGAGATTTAAAAAATAGGGCCCATCTCTTACTCATGTCCACTCTTATCAGTGGAGGATTCTTTGTATGACTACCCTAGAAATAAAAAGAATAAGGATTGGAAAGGAAAGAACAAAACTGCGATTATTCCCAGATGATGTAATTGTCTATAGGAAAAACACCAAGGAACACAGAAAAACTATTAGAATTAACAAGAATGCATAATATCGTCAGATACACAGTTGATATACAAAAGTCAGTGCCATTCCTTAAACTACATAAGCAGTTCAGAAATAAGTACAATAGAAGATGCCATAAGTAATAGCAAAAATATGCATAAGGAACCCAGTGGGGGAAAAAAATCTAACAATCTGTTTAATATTTTTATGGAGAAAGTTATAAAACATTAGAAAGGTATTATCTAAGTAAATGGCGGGACACACCATTTGTATGGGTCAGGGGAACTCGGTATCACGAAGAGGAAAATCCTTCCCAAATTGGTCTGTATTTCATATAGTCTAACAAAATCCCAGTAGAGGATTTTTCACGGGATTTGGAAAAGGATATAAAATTTCGAATAGAAAAACAAAGGGCCAAGAATGGCCAAGCCACTGCAAATGAGGAGGGTTTGTTTCACCAGATAGGGAGAAGAAAACCCAGCACACAACCATAATCATGAAGACGATGTATACTGACACAGAGATAGAAAAACTGACGAGTGGACAGAACAGACATCTCCACGTGTAGATCGAACCTGACATACGACAGGACGGAACTGTCAGGGCAGACAGGCAGGCAAGACGATACATTAAAAAGTAGTGCAGGAAGACTTGCTGTTTGTGTGGAAAACCAGGAACATGGATCTCGACCTCAAGCCATAGCCACAAAGTGAATTTCAGATTTTTTTTTTTTTTTTCTGACAGAGAGAGAGGGATCTCAAGTAGGCAGAGAGGCAGGCAGAAGAGAGAGGGGGAAGCAGGCTCCCTGCTGAGCAGAGAGCCCGATGTGGGACTCCATCCCAGGACGCTGAGATCATGACCTGAGCCGAAGGCAGAGGCTTAACCCTCTGAGCCACCCAGGTGCCCCCACAAAGTGAATTTCAAATTCAAGGCTTCAGTGTGAAGGGCAACATATTAAAACTTCTCGAAGAAAACACCGTAGATTATCTTTATGATCTGGGTAGGGAGCAGGGAGGGATTTCCTAACTCCCCTCCCAAGCCCCACCCCCAAAAAATAAAGGAAAAGCTTAGTAAATTTGATTCGGTTAAAATTAAAAACACCTTCTCATCCAGACACAGAATAATGAGGATGAAAAGCGAAAGCAAAACAAAACAGGAAACAAAACAAACCCCCCTCCAGGACCCTGAGATCATGACCTGAACCGGAGGCAGACACTTCACCAATTAAGCCACCCGGGCGTCCTGGTTGGTTTTTTTCTTGTAAATCAACCAAATGAACCTCTCACTTCAAGGAAGTAACTGATGGTATTTGTTGTCAGTGATAAAATTCAAAGTTTCAAGAGAGAATTGGGAACTTGTAAGACACATATCCCTATCTGTGACCTTGACACTTTCCCAATACCCACAGGCTCTTCTGGAAGGATGAGATCAGTAATGATATTAGTGGATATGATTTTAAAATACCGCATAAAGAAATGTACCAATATTTGGAAGATCAGCCTGGTTCAGTGAATTCATATGTATTCATATGAGTGTCGTTTCCAAACGACCAACATATGATGTTATTAAAATCATGCACGGGCAAAAGATCCATTCAAGATGCAAGATGGACCAATGGATTTTAATATAACAGAGGACTCAAAGTCCACTGATACATTTTCAGATTCCAAATTGCAACTATCTTAAAAAAAACTACCACCTGCCAAGTTTTAGCATAGTATCAAAGAAGACTGTTCACTAATCTCGAAATGCTGTAAAAATACTCTCCCCTTTTCCAACTACATATTTGTGAGAGGTTGGATTTTTCAACCTAGACAATATATGTCAAGAGATTGAATGAGAAGCAGATAAGAGACTCCAGTTCTCTTTTTGTTGTGTTGGTCATTAAAGAGATCTGTACAAATACTGTAAAACAGTCTCACTCTCCCCTGTAATTTTTTTTTTACTTTGGAAAATTTATTTCCATAAAATATATTACTGAAGTGAACATGTGATAGGTTATTATTGCTATCTGGAATAAATCTTTTAAAAATTACCAGTTGCGATGGCTAATCTGATGAATATTGTTAGATGTGATCTACATAAACAAAAGTTCTTTGGGGCCCTTCGTAATTTTTAGGAGTATAAAGGGGTCCTAAGACCAAGTCATTTGAGAACTGATGCCCTAGAAAAATATGCACTGGTGGGACAGGGAAACGTGTAAGAATGTTCACAGCAGCAGTATCTCTAATAGCAAGAGGCTGGAAACAACCACACACCTTCCTCTACCATAGAGTGGGCGAGGAGAGGTCACGGACAATCTCTGATGCACTTCACAATAAAAAAATAATTCTTAGAGATGGCCAAAAACCAAACCCATAACCAAAGCCGAACCCCAAAACCAGCCTGCTGGGAGCAGCCAAGCCTCCTTCCCACTCCAACCCCCGTGCTCGTGTGGGGCTCCCAAGAGTACCCAGTGATTGTGTACATGCATGTGTTGTACAAACAGGTATGACGCACCCTCCTTTTTTGGTTGTTACACAAATGGCCACATCCTCTTTGTCACTGCTCTTTGCTCTGGTTTTTTTCTCTCTGTGATGGATCTGAGAGATCATTCTCTACTTCTAGCCACTCTGATTCTTTGTAATAGATCCAGAGCATTCCGTGTGTGGACCTCCTGTAATTTGTAATCAAGCCCCTGCGGATGATAAGCTCGGTTGCTTCCAGCCTTTGGCCATGATTCCCACAGTACATCCCAGATACTTCTATGCATGCATCTTTGTGCACACGGGTGTGTATATCCACACGATAAATTACGAGGCGTTGAAAGTTGAGGTCAAGGGTGTACATCTCAAGCACTGATACTATTGTCGAAGTGCCCCCCACAAAGGGCAGGGCCAGTCCCCCCACCATCCATGTATGTGAATGTGTCCTTCCCTACACACCGGCCGTGTTTTGTCCCCGCTTATCCAAGAGGTGAAAACGCATTCCTGAGTAGTTGCTCCTCTTTAATTACACCAGAAGGCAGAAGACAACGTTTCCAGTTCTGATTCGAAGTACACCCGGTTGATAAGCACCAGGCACCCTAATGGATGGGTTCTGACAGAGGAGGGGCAAACCCGAAATCCCGCTTCTGGGCGCTGTCCACAGTCCGCGGCCCCAGGGACTCCTGCATCCCTTAGACCGAAGAACTCGCTCGTATTCTTTCCTGGGAAGAGCGCACGAGCGCGCACTACCCCAGGTGGCCGCTGGAGGGCACCAGCGCCCGCTGGAACGCGCCAGGAGAGCTTGGGGTGCGCTCCACTCTCCTCCCAACCTGGGCCCTTGGCTCCGCGCCCCAACCCCCGCGCCCTCTGCCCTCGCTGGGTGGGTGACCAGCTGGCTTCCCCAGGACTCAGGGCTGCTGGGCTGGAGGGGCACAGGTGGAGTGGACGCAGCCCCTCAAAGCCCATTGGCTCTGCCCCGGGCCCCTCAGAAGCTCGCCCAGCTGACACTCATGGCGTTCCCCAGAGAGGCCGGTGGGTTGGGGTCACTGGTGGAACAGCCTGTCCAAGGGCCTTCTACCTTTGTGCTGGCCAAAGGGTCCTTGTTCACAAAAGCCTGGATAAACTCCTCAGGCCCGATGTGCCGTAGCCGTTCCTGCACCAGAAGGGAGAAGAGGAGTCGGGAAAGGGAGGAAGGTGTGGGGAGGGAGGTGCCCACCCAGGGCCTGGCATGGTACTTCTGCAGGCTCCCTGCCTCTCAGCCCAGCCAGGATGGTCTCTGGACAGCTTCCCTTCTCCCTAGGGCTCCACAACCCCATTCTGGGTTGTCACAGAGCTTGAAACCATCCCGAAGGAGGCACCCCTCTTTTCCCATGCCCAGGGGCTGCCGAAGCTCATGGGGGGCAGAAGGCAAGGTCCCCATAGGGCGTGCTTGGGAGATGCGAGACCCAGGAAACCCAGCTCGAAACCGGGTAACCGAAACAACCTGCTCCCTCCAGGGGAGGTCTGGGTCAGACTCAAATCCTGGCTCTGTCCCTTCTACTGTGTGGCTTTAGGCAAGTCTCTTTACCTCTCTGGGCCTTAGTTTCCTCATTGGTGCAAAGGGAATAATGATAGCACCTCCCCGGTGTGGTGTGGGAAGACGAAATGAGATGGTGCGCATTAAGTTCTGTGTATAGTGCCGGAAGGCAGTAAGGGACCCATAAATGGTAGAGGTTTAAAAGAGAAGATCTACGGCCCCACCTCCCCTCTCTCTGGGGCAGGCCCCTCAGCCTTTGCACCTTTAAGGAGTCCAACATGTGGGAGGCCAGACCGGGGTCTGGACTCAGTACGTCTGCGAGTCCTACATGGGGAAACTGAGGCCTTGGTAGGGAAGGCACTCATAGTGTGAAGCTCACACAGCAGGTGGTGGCAGAGCCAGTGTTTGAACCCAGTTCCTCTGTCCAGGGCCCAGACTCTCAGGCAGGCCCCGGGTCCAAGCTGGGCGGGCCCAGCATATCCAACCCTCCTGCTGGAATGGTGAGAGACCATCCCAGAGCCAGGGCACCCTGGAGGTGCCCGGCTGGCCCCACTGTGACAGGCTCCAGCCCCGGGGCTACACGGACACAAGGTGGGAGGCCAGGGATGGCCGGTCCTCAGTTGTTCCTGGCTCTGGGTCTGGCTAGAGGAGGGCCCAGGCCTGCTCACCAACTCCACGTGGGTGAGCTGTTGGGCCAGAGTGTAGGGGTCACTGCAGACGCCGAGGAGCTCCCGGTGGATGGAGGCGGGTGGCTTGGTCCTGTAGGAGATGGGCTTGTCGGCACCTAGCAGGCCTTCCGGGCCCTGGCCCTGGGCAGCCAGCTTCTGGTGCAGAGCCTGCAGGAGCTGCTGCATCCTCTTTCGGCATGCCTGGAGAGGAGGTGGAAAGGGAGTTCAGGCCAAACACCCATCCCCTCGTGTCTAGCATCTGAGGCTCTGGGCCGGCTGGGTTGTGAGCTGTGGCTGGCTGTGCCCACTCCCGTGTCCGCCCTGAAGCAGGACCCAGCCCAGGGTGGCAGGATGACCAGTGGGAGCTGAGAGGAGCACCTGTCGGGGAGGGCGGCCAGGGTCAGGGGCTGCCCCTGCTCTCTGGACAGTAGGACAGGCTGGGGTGCACACTGCCAGGGAGACAGAGGCAGGGAGAAAGGAGGGAGACGTGGAATGGGCTCTGCCCCACCCCCACCCTGGGGACCCCCTCCACTCTCCCGACTCTGAGACGCCTCCTATCTGTGCCCCAGCAGTACTTGCCCAGGTCACCCGATGTGACTTCCCTATGGGGCCACTGTGGGAGATGACCGGGGTGGTTTACTGCCCCACTACAGTGACAGCTCGGCGGGGGCAGGGAAGCCTGCGTGGTCCCCTCTCTGTGGGCAGAGCAGGGTCTGGCTCTGGGGCCCCGGCCGGCCTTTACTAACCACTTCCGCAAACAAAAGTGTCTCACCATGCAGCTCGGACAGATATATGCTTGCTTTGGGCTGTCCTAGATGGAGTGCAGGGAAGAGAGGCTGTGCCCCACCTGCCCCCCGCCAGAGGGGCACCCGCCTTCCCACACCCAACAAGGAAATGGATTATTCCCCCGTCAGAAACCCCCATTTCTCGAGGAAGGCACCATCAGACTGGCTGTGTTTATGAAACTTGAGGCCCACCGTTCCCAAGGGGCTGGTCACTAATCCACAAACAGAGCCCCCGAACTTGTCAGCTGGACCTCCCCCACCCAGAGGTTGATTCAGCTCCAACAAACTGAGGAACTGGCTTGGGAGCAGGGACGGGTGTACCCGAACCCTAGCTCTTGCTCCCAGAGCCCCAGGAGCCAGGCCCACTGCTCAGCTGGATGGTAGGGGGTAAACTGAGGTCCAAGTCTTCCATCCATTGCCTGCGGAAGGAGCAGCCCCTCTCAGCTCTGCAGGTCCAAGAGTGGTTAGCACGCTGCTGGTCAGGTCTTCACAGGATTTGGGTCCATCTTGTGAACCCTGACACCCCGCACCACCTCCCTCCATCTCTCTCCTCACTCAGTCTGTCGGCAAAGCCTGGGGCCCTCTCTCAGGCTGCATCTGCCTCCGGTTCCTCCTGCCTCAGGCTGTTGGCAGGCTCGTCTGCACCATCCTTCCGTGCTGGAGATCCCCCCCACCCCACCAGCATCTGGGACCCCTCCCCTGCCATCTGTCCCTTGGTCCTGGGTACGCTGGGTCATGTCCAGAACATCATTCAGCGTCTATGTGGACAACGTTCATCTCTCACGTGCAGCTTCTTCTCAGCTCTCTAGAGCCACATGGCCAAGGGGCTACCTCCACCCAATGGGTGTAAGGGGCCATCTTGCTCCCCTTGCCCAGAGGTGCCTCCTCTGTCCACATCACTGTCTCAGTGACTGGAGCAACTGAAGCACTCACATCCGGGGCTCAGGCCAGGGCCATCCTCAAGCACCATCTCCCACACAGCCCTCCTGCCCATCGCCGACCCTCCTGATTTTGCTTTCTGCAATCTGCATGCTTTGTCTCTGCTGCAGGCCCTCGGAGGGCCCCCTGCATCCCTGCTGGGCTCCCTTCACTCCACTCCACAGCCAGAGACGTCTGTTGAAAATGCATGTCTAACCTCTGCGTCCCCCTTCCTTTAAATACCCCAGTGCCTTTGCAAAGACAGAAGTCCCGTGGGGCTCAGGGGTCCTGAGGTCAGCTCTGGCCACACTCAACGGCCTCCACATGGCCTCTGTCCCCCTTCTCAGTGTTCCAGACCCAGGCCACTTCTCCATCCCTCTAGCCCCTTCCCCTGGCTCTCACCCCAAGGGGTGACCCCGGGAGGGCCTGTGCAGTCCTCTCTCTCTTTTATGTTCTTCTCACGGTTGTGACCTCAGAGCACTGGGCTTCCTTCCCACCCTTGGCCAAGCCTCGATCAAGTGATTGTCCGTCTCCTCTCTCTGCTCTATCAGCCACATGCAGATTACACCAGGTCACCGTCTGCTCGTCCCCAGCATGAAGGACCTGGGAGGGGCTCACAGACACGATGTACCGACTGGATGAATGTGGCCTTTCCCTGGTTCTAGCTGGCCTGCCTCACCGGTGTAGACTGTGGAGCCCTCCTGAAGTCAAGGGCACAGTGTGTCTGTGCCTAGAGTCTGACAGATCCACGGACTTACTCTATATTAAAAATACGCAAATGATTTCGGAAGACTTGTTTCTTCTGAACCAATATATTCACTCCCAATGATGATCATTTTCTGCTTGAGAATTCCTTCAGAATTCACCCGGCAGTGTTGACCTCAAGCTCATCTGTTGGTTCTTTCCCGAATCTTCTGTACCCCATTCTGAATAGAGGGATGGTGTGTGCTGGTTCCTCTCTCATTTTCTCATGAGTCCCATGCCCTCGTGGATAGAGGCTGAGAGATCTAGGTACGTCTGAGCAGACCCAGAGACCGAGCTCTGAGGATGCTGAGGCTGTCCCTTGTCCCTGTTAGGAATGCACACTCCAGAGCACGGGGGACGCCAAGCACAGCAGAGCTCTACCCCTCTTAGCCTGGCAACACCATCCAATTCCAGAGCCACCTGCCAGGTACGCAGAGCTGGGTTTCAAGTACAGAGGTCATCCAAGGTGAAGACTGTGGCTCCCCAGGTGTCTCCTGGCCATTCGTGGTTAGAACTCATTTCTGGCAGGACAGTCAAGGGCCTCTGTCCTTTGGAGTTCTTGAAAATCCCACCTGAGCCAGCCCAGGGTGCCTTGCAAAGGGCTTAGCCCAACCTGCACAGGCAGACACCACTTTGTTTTCTGTGTTAGCTTCCCAACCCCTGTGCCATCAGGGGGCTGCGTGGGGGCACCTCTGAGGGCAGCAGGGTCAGCCCAGCAGATAGTCATGGAAACGGGAAAGCAAGGCCATCCCCTGGGAAGGCCCATGGTATCAGCTTCTTCTGCAGCCGCCCTTTAGTGCAGCTGTGACCTCGGGGACTCCCCTAGCTTTCCCCCCTCAGCCTCAGCACTGGCCTCCGTGAGCCAACACTGCTCAGTCCAACCTATGGACAGCCCCTCCACAGCAGGTCCCCTGCCTAGCATGAGGTGGCCCTGATCAGGTGTCCTCAATGCAGTGGCCATGTTCAGTCATGGAGAAGGGCCTTCTCAGCTCCTCTCAGGCTTTTTGTTCCCAGATGCTGAGAGGTGGAGGGCCGTGCTGGGAGATCAAGAGGATTCGGGACGGGGAGCAGCAGGTAAAAGGGCAGCGTCACCTTTCCCGGCCCTCTGATGGGGAAGCCCCCTTGCCCCTGGCCCTGTGCTGTTTCCTCTCCTTCCCTGAGCCCCACTGTTATCTCACAGCCCTTATCACCCTCCCTCTTTATACAAAGACAGTGAGGGCTCAGAGAGGTTAAGGAACCGGCCCAAAGATGTACTCTGAAAACACTCGTACTCATTTTGCTGATTTGGGCGCGGCACTTTATATCATTCAATCCGGTCCCTGGGTGAGAAATCTTTTACAGGAAAATGCTGAAATATTTTTGGAGCCAAAGATACAATGTTTAAAAGTAATCTGGAGGGAGGGGGAAGTGTGAGAAGGGAGAGAAGAAGTGAATCTGGCAAAATGTTGATTAATTGTTGAGCCTGGGTGATGCATATGTGGGGGTTCAGGGTTGTTCTTCTCTGTGTTTGTGTATGCTTGAAACGTCCCACAATAAGAACTCTGTACCTATTGAAGTAAAAGCCCTGTACACCTGAATTCTGGAAATAATTCGTTCCCCATCACAGCTCACACTGACCAAGTGCTGAGGTAAGAACACACGTGACTGCCGGGACTCTTTGCTACAAAGTTGTCTGATGGTGAGGATTATCCTGTTTTGCTGAGGAGGAGACTGAAGCTCAGAGAGGGGAAGTGCCTTGCCCGAGGTCACACAGCTGTGGTTTCTGAGCCGGGGTCTGAGTGGGCTCAGGTGCTCTGACCTGGACCCCATGCTCTGAGTCCTACAGTGGCCCTGCCTGATCAGACTGGTCACCAGCTCCTTTCCAGGCTGAGCCCTTGTGCTCTGTGCTGGGAGGGGAGCAGCCCATGGTCCACCTCCAGGTGGGGTCCACCCCACCTTCGGGGGGAAGGGAGGCAGCACCCAGAGGAGATGCCCTTTGGAGTGGGTGCTTTCTGGGCAAGGACAACTTGGGGATCTCAAAGACACAAGGGAGCACCCTCATTTCGGCCCACACCGCTCAGCACACCTAACTGGATCCCAAGGTAAGGAATGAGAATGCCTCAGGTGAATTACATCTGCTCCAAAAGCCCACACCTGGCGGATGGCAGCTCTCAACAGTCATTCCTAGGCCTCACTCATTTCTCATCCATGGGGCGGTGAGAAAAGACTTCCCAGCACGGCCCTGGTGGTAGGCCTGACAGCTTTTCAGGAGGTTGGCGAGGAGGTTCGGTTTCCCTCAGAAACCAGCCCAGGACTTACACCATCCCCACCACTGCAGTTGGAAGGACAGGAAATGGTTTTGCCAATGGAAGAGGCAGGCCTGACAAGGGGGGATGATTCTGTCTTGTCAGTGGTTCGGATCTCATTCTGCTGGAGACCTCCTGGCGAGAAGGTGCTGAAGCAGGAGACTGGGCTCTCCTCCCCCTGAGAACCCAACTCCACTCCATCCAACCATCCATGCGTCCACCCCTCTGCTATTGCCCATCTCCCCTTTTATACAGCCCCCCACCTTCAGATGCATCAATTCACTCATCTGTCCTTCCTTTTTCTTCCTAATGTTTGCCACTCACTCATCCACCTACCTATCCATCCCTCCACCCACCATCTACCCATCCACCCATCCACCCACTTGTCCATCCATCCATCCATTCTATCTACTCATTGATCCATCCATCCTTATTCACCCATCCTCTCAACCACCCACCCATCCACCCACCTATCCATCCATCCATCCATCCATCCATCCATCCATCCATTCTTCTATTCGTCTATCCATCCCTCCTTAGTCACTCATCCATCCTTATTCATCCATCCATCTATCCATCCACCTATCCATCCTTATTCACCCATCCTCTCAACCACCCACCCATCTACCCACTCATCTATCCATCCATTCATCCACCCATCCATTCTTATACCCAACCACTCACCCACCCATCCAACCATCCACGTTCATCCATCCACCTACCCACCTTCTAATCCTCCCGTATGTCCATTTACCCACCACCCCACCTACCCATCAATCTTTCTACAACCACTCACACCAAAAATCCATCTGCCTATCAGAATACTAAACATCTATTATCCCCCCTCCACCTTTCCATCAAGGTAGCCAACTCTCTATCTATCTGGTCAGCCAGCATCTCCCTCCCTGCTTCTACTCACCCCTCCTGATTCATGCAATCATAGAGCCTTCTCTGACCCCATTTCCTGCTGCATCCTAAGCCAAGAGTCAGGATCCCCAGGTAGATTAGGAGATGCAGAGGAGGAGGAAGAGGAGCAGGAAGAGATGACCCTCATCTCACCGAGCCCGCAGAGTGGCTAAGTCACTTGTCTGCATGTGACGTGGCCCACAGGCAAGGTCTCCCTCCCCGCTTTATGGATCCCTGTTGCCATCCGCCTTCACAGTTTTCCTTTGTTTCACAAGCACTGGACTCTGCCATGTCCAGACCCACTTTGAGGCCCATGACTAGCTTACAGGTTGCCACATTCAGCCTCCTACCAGGGAAACTGATCTGCATTCCCCGCAATGCTCTCTCCTAGGGGAAGCAGCATCAGTGCCGGCCAAAGAATCACCCTGGAGATTCCAATAAACCTGTCCCTTCTAAGTGTACCAGGAGACCTTCCTTCCCTCTGTGGGGTCCTTCTCTGTATTCTGACCCTGGTCCTGAGAGGTGGGGATCTGTTCTCCTTTTACCTTGAAGTGCCTTCCCCAGAGTAATGCAGCCAGGAGAACGGGGCAGGGAGTGGGGTACCTGATGCCCACCCCCCTGGCTGCCTTCCAAGTCACAAGGGCTGCCTTTACTTTGCGATGTGGTTTTAGCCACAGTGGTGGATAGGAGAGAGGAGTATGAGGGGAGGGAGTGGCTGTTTCCTTTTCTGCCCTAACCAGGGCCCTCCAGGCCAGCCCGAGGGGTCACTGACCAAGGGCCCTGTTGCAAGAGCCAGAGTGGATCCTTCCTTGGCCTGGCATCTGATGCCATGCATGAGCGCAGGGCAGGAGAGGGGTCAAGAGACCAGACCTGGAGCCACAGGCCTGGTTTCCCTGCCTGCTCGGCAGGGCCTGACTTCCCGATGGGGCGGAAAGGTGCTGATCTCAGAGGGGCTGCGGGTACACACGAGGGCCCTGAGGTTGGCCCCAGGAACAGGCTCCGGTCCCGGGCGCAGGGGCGCAGACAGGGCGCACCCCTTGCACTAGGCTTGCCTACCTCGTCACAGGGGGCAATGCGGCCCATCACGTCCTTCAGGTGCCCGATGGTCGACTCCTCCTGGAAGTCCCGCGGGAATGTCTCCGTCCATTCCGCCAACAGCTGGAGCAGTTTGGGGCCGAACTTCCGGACCCGGGCCTGCAAAGGAAGCCATGGCGCGTCCACACCCAGTGAAGGGTGCCTAGAGGCGCCGCCCCATCAGCCCCTGCGTCAGCCACGCACTGCACACGCCCCGCTGGGGTCGGGCTATCCCGGCAGCGCCCCTGGTGGCCAAAGGTGGTATGCCTGGTGCCTTCTCTGTGTCAGGTCAAAGGGAGGCCACCCAGGGATGGGGGCTTGACCACAGGGAAACAAAGGGGGACAGACGCACATTTGGGGCAGGACCCTCTGTTGTTTTTGCCTGCTGGGCATCCCGTCTCCCACTCTGTGGTGATAACATCTCAGTTTGCTTTGGGGGTTTCTGTCCCCCTCATTCCCAGCCTTTGGGGTTCAGGGTTCAGCTTACTGCGCCTCAGCCCCCCTGGCAGGGGTCCAGATCAGTGCTGGCCAATAAGTACATGGTACACCCCCCATCTTGCACAGTGACTGGCTCACGGATGGGCATGTTGCCCAAGCTAAACCACTGAGCTCGGGACTTTCCTTGGGACCTATTTAGAACATGGCTTGCTGTTTCCACTGGAATTGGGAAGAGTAGATGGTGAGCCTGGAGTGGCAGAGGCCACCTGTCACCGGTCAGGGAGAACCTGCCGGAGTGAGGGTGAGGCTGGCCTCGAGGAAAACGGAGCAGAGGGTCGGAGGGAGAAAGACCCTATTTCCATGGGGTTCGTTTGAGCCTTCGGAGCCAGTGGTATTTGGTGACTTTGCAGTTCTGTGAGCCAAGGAAAGTCCCTTTGTCTTAGGCCAGTTGTAGTTGGGCTTCTATTTCTGTAACAATGGGGCCCGATGGACATACCTGTAAAGAGTCACAGCCCGTGGGATCTTGCCGGGACAGAGGAAGGCTAGGCTATCAGTGCACCTCACAGAAGAAGGGATGGTGGAATGGAGTTTGCTGAGGGCAGATGGCGCAGGGCCATCCCAGATGGCAAGGGTCCTACTGATGCGGCTCTGGGGTCCTGGGTGCCGTGAGCTCAGGGGCTCCCACAGGGCAGTGGAAACGGCACCTGGTTAGAGGTTCCAACTCTGTCCCTTCTAGCTCTGAGCCCCAGACAAGTCAGAAACCCCTGCGGGCTCCTGCCCAGGAGAATGGGGACCATTACCGCCACTCCAAGAGGTAGATGCATAAGGACGTGTCAGGGGAGTGTCTGTATACAAGAGGGCCCCTGTCCTGCCCCTCACCTTGTCCAGCACCGGCTGGTCCAGCTGCTGCTGCTCAATACACAGGTGGCAGACCCGGGCCAGGAGCTCCCGGGGCTCGATGAAGAGGCGGGAGCTTAGAAGGAAGGTGAAGATGTAGGCTTTCTGAAAGGGACACAGAGAAAGGCAACATGTGCTCACAAGGGCATGGCAGGGCTGTGCCCTCTGGTCCAAGACCAGCCCCAGCCCTAGCGTCTCCCCCATGCGTGGTAGAAGGGAGCCCGTTCTAATGGCCCTCCTCCCCGCTGGATGGATAACCCACCTCGGGGTAGTAGTCGGTCGTGGGCACCAGGTGCTGGATCAGGGTGTCTAGGGAGGCTGACGAGGGAGCCCCATCCAGGAGGGGCTGCCCGGTCTGCTCGCCATCTGTGGGCTTGGTGGGGGGTGGGCCAAGGCTGCCAGGGGTGACCATGTCGGAGGCGCTCAGGGTTCGGGGCATGCCTGTCTGCAGTAAAAGGAGTAGTTAGGCACACCCGGACTGAGGCCCCGCTGGTCCTCTGGGCTCCTGGCTGGGTAGGTTCTGCCTCCTCCAGGAGCTTTGGTGCCCATCCAAGCCCAGTGACCAATCACTTCCCGGGGGTGGGGGCTGGGGGATTCCTACCCCCAGCAGGGCATCTCTCAGCAACCAACCCTCCTCCACTCTTGGTCCAAGCCACTTAGGGACTGACTCTTTCCACTCCTACCCCCAGGGAAAATTGTTTTGGGCATGGCTTAGACAATTCACAGATTGTCCCTGCCCGTGGCCACATAGACGATTAGTTCAAGGGTGGGCCTGGTCCAAGTTGGAGGGCTCAGGCGCGATCCCAGAACATCCGCGGCACTCCGAAGCTCTCTCCCTCGCTGGGGTCCCTGAGCCCGGCTCACTCACTGCTGCACCCCAGGGTCCGGCCCCCACCTGGAACATACAGAGTGGGTGCTCGGTCAAGGTGCGGGTGTTCAAGTGACTCAGCGGGGCAGGTGACAACAGAGGAGCCCAAGATGACACTGCTGTAGGGCGATGGGGCCAAGGGGCGGGCTTTCCAGTGGGAAAAGCCCTGGGGGCCTGGCCCTGCACGCTCACCCCTCAACTCAGCCCGTAGCCCTCCCATCCTTCAGATGAGGTAGAGGAAGGCTCGCAGAGAAAGGCGGGTGCCCAGCTCGCGCGCTGAGTACCTGGCCGAGCTGGGTCTTGAGGACAGGTGTGTCTGAGGACAGGCCCCATTTGTGTTTGAGGACAGGCCCCGTTCCTGTCTACCAGCCCAGCTGGGCCCTAATGTTGGCGTCCCCAGAGCACAGACTCCAGGGCACATGGGAAGACTCCGGAAGTGTGACCAGCGGTGCCCAGGGCCTGAGGAGAGAAGCATGTGCTGGCTGGCGATGGGGGTCAACTCGGCCCCTCCTGGGACAAGCCAGCCCTCCCACACATTGTGTTTGGCCCGTGGACACCATCCCCGGGTGCCGACTCTCCTTCCTAGCTCAGATCCTGGTTCTGGACCCAAGTCCCTCCCCCTGGTGCCTCCATCTGTTGGGTCTGCCTCCTGGCATCCATTTCCTTTCCTCGCAGCCAGAAGACCAAGCTTTGCAGGCGTTCCCCCAATAACCACGCCTTCCGATGAATACTGACCACGGTGCTGAGAGGTCAGGAAGGCTCCGCCCACACCTGGCCAAGGGGTGGGCACTAGGCCAGGCCGGGCCAATCAGACGCTGCCACCCTGAAATATGCAGCTGAAGGGGGCATGGCCTGAAGAGGCAGGCCTGGGAGGGCTTGGCTTCTGAGTCACAGCTGCCCCCCACCCCAGGCATAAGCTTCTGCCTCAGTTTCCCTGCTCACATCCCCCGCTCCCGCTGACTACCCTCCACCCCTGAGGCGCACCAGTCAGTCTCCTTGCGTTTGGGTCTCCAGGCCCAGCATCTGGAAGTCCTGGGGCTCCCGCCACAGTTAGCAGTAACGAGGGGGCCAGTCTGCATCGCATTTGCGTTGGAGGCATGCGCCACCCCCACCCCCCCGGGGGTGCCACCCTGCAGGTGGACACCCTTCCTTCTGGGGATTCGTGCTGTCAGACCCAGAGTCCACCTGCTGTCGGAGTCTAGTACTGGACTTCTTGGGACTATGTGGCCTAAGCCTAACTCCTGTATGGGACACAAGGGGAAATGTCTGCAGGGACAAGTGTCGGACCAGGTGGAATTACAGGGAAGGTACAGACCTAGAGGATAACCTTTCTCTCATTCCCCAACGTTTAACAGAGAGGTGTGTACCCCAAATATCTAACTTTCCTCTTTACTGGACAACACAAAAACACCCGGCAAGAGGCTGGCAAGGGCCCTGTGGTTCCCCCAGAATGAGGTCCGTCAGAGAGAGGCCAGAGCTGTGGCCACAAAACAACATAGCTCCACTGGACTCCTGGGGGTGCTGACCACATGCTCAGACCTTCCACATTTAAGGAATGCCAGGATTCCTGACTTGTATGCTTGGTATCCTGATTTTATTTATTTATTATTTTCTTTTTCTTAGAGGGGGAGCAGAAGGAGAGGGAGGGAGAGAATCTCAAGCAGGCTCCACACGCAGGACCCCGATGTGGGGCTCAATCTCACAACCCTGAGGTCGTGACCTGAGCCGAAATCAAGAGTCAGATGTTCAACTGACTGAGCCACCCAGGTGCCCCAAGGACCCTGATTTTATTTATTTATTTTAATATTTTATTTATTTATTTATTTGAGATAGAGAGAGAGATCACACGTAGTCAGAGAGGCAGGCAGAGAGAGAGGGGGAAGCAGGCTCCCTGCTGAGCAGAAAGCCCGATGCGGTGCTTGATCCCAGGACCCTGAGACCAGGACCTGAGCCGAAGGCAGAGGCTTAACCCACTGAGCCACCCAGGCACCCCCCTGATTTTAAAGATGGCAATTCAACTTAGTAAAAAGAAAAAAAGCCACCATGGGGGCCACAGCATGGGACAAGAGCATATTTAGAAACAACATCTCTAGCTCCCAGGTGGCCAGTCTCCAACCCCCGCACTGCTGTCATAGTCCTCAGTAGTGCTGGTTGGCATTCTAAAATCCTGCAAAGAACAGAAAGCCATATAGAACCTATGGAAGAAAAGCACCTGGCTGGTCAGCAAAACATGTCCTGGGTGCTGGAGAGGAGATGGGCTCCCGGGCATCCGTGCCCAGCTGGGCGCTGGACCAGGCCTGGCCAAAGGGAGAGAGTCAGAGGATGACCCTTTGTTGTGTGAAGAGTCTCCTGGGCTTTTCAAGTGCCTTCATGTGCTGAGAATGGGAAGAAGAACCCCTCCTCTTCTGTTTCTGGAGAGGAGCCCCGAGATTAAGTGCACAAAGCACCCAGCACAGTGCCTGCCATGGAGAAGAAGGGGCCACCAAGACCACTGAGCCCTCCCCAAGGGCCTATACTACCAGCAGGGTCTGGAACCATGACACACATCATCATTCCAACTGCTAATGGTGCTCTGGGCCAAAAAGACTTGTCCCCTGGGGTCCCTCGATTTACCCTGGTTTGCAAGCTGGCTGTGGCCTGGACAGCCCTCTACTGTGAACTTCCAGCCTCGGGGTGGGAGCTCCCGAGAGCAGCTATCACTGGGTGCCAATTTAGCCTTGCAGGCTAACGTAAGCCCACAACGCCCGGTCGGAGCCTTCCGCCCTCGCCTGAGTAGGTAGCAGAATTTTACACATTTATACATTCTCATCCCATCACCCCTCCCCCATTACCTCCTTTTAAAAAATTCTGGGAAATGATGCTTAATGTGAAATTTACCATTGTAACCATTTCAAGGGTATACTTTCAGTGACACCAAGCACGCTCCCATGGTTGTGCAAATGTCACCACTCCCCATCTCCAGAAACTTTTCATCTTCAACTCAAATCCCACATCCATTCAGCAATCACGCCTCGTCCTCCCCTCCCCTCACCCTGGCAAGCCCGTTCCACTTCCTGTCTCTAGGAATGTGACTGTTCTAGGCACCTGTATGAGCAGAACCATAGGGTGTTTGTCCTTTTGTGACTGGCTTATTTCACTTCACATCATATCCTCAAGGTTCACACATGCTGTAGCATGGGTCAGAATGTCCTCCCCCCCTTTTTTTCTTTTAAAGACTGATCATATAGCCCATATATACATATACATGTACATATATATATGGACAAACTCACATACCCCCATGTTTTCTCTATCCCTTTATCTGCCAGTGGGAATTTGAGTAGTTTCAGCCTTTGTCATACCCTTGTCCACACTAGCTGCCCTCTCACTACTTCTCACTTCTACTGGCAATGGAAAAGGGTTCCAATTGCTCTACACCCATGCCAACGCCGTTTTGTTTTTTGTTTTTCGTTTCTTTCTTTTTTTTTTTTTTTTGTATTTTTGATAGCAGCCATCCATCAGGGTGTGAGGGGACATCTCATTGTGAACCTCGATTCTGATTTTGTATTTTGCTCGTGACTGGGGTTGGTGGGCATCTTCTCGTGCTCCTTGGCCACTTGTATATATAACCTTCAGAGAACTGTCTATGCAAACCCTTGGTTCACTGTTGAATTGACCGAGATCACGAAGCTTTGTTGTCCTCCAGAAATTTTATAGTGTGTGGCCTTACTTTTAGGTCTTTAATCTGTTTCGGTTGAATTTTTGTCTATGCGGTGTTAGGTAAGGGTTCAATTTCACTACCTTACCTGTGGATCTCCAGTTTTCCCAGCACCATTTGTTGAAAAGATCGTCCTTTTTCCACTGAATGGTCTTGGCACTCTTGTTGAAAAATCATTTGACTCAATGACAGGGATTTGTTTCTGGGCTCTCTATTCCATTCCATTGGCCCATATCCCTGTCTTTATGCCAGGACCACACTGTTTTGATTACTGTAGCTCTGTCGTAAACCAGGAAGTGCAGTCCCTCCAACTTTGTTCTTTTCCAAGATTGCTGTGGCTGTTCAGGGTCCTTTTGAAATGCTGTATGAATTTCAGGATGGATGCTTCTATTTCTGCAAAAACACCATTGGAATTTTGATAGAGATTGCATGAAATTTGTAGATTGCTTTGGATAATATTGACATCTTAACAATATCAAGCCTTCCAACCCACGAATACAGGGTGTCTTTCCATTTATTTGCATCTTTCCTCATTTCTCATTGCTCTCATTTCCATGTTTTATACTTTTCACCGTGTAAGTCTTTCATTTCCTGGGCTGAGTTGATTCCTAACTACAAGCTCCTAAGTCTGTTCTTTGTGATTCTTTTGTAAGGGGAATTGCTTTCTTAATTTCCTTTTTTGATTGTTCATTGTTAGTGTGCAGAAACACAACTGTTTTTTACGGTGTTGATTTTGTATCCTGCTATTTTGCTGAATGAATGTTAATTAGTTCAATAGGGATATGTGTGTGTGTGTGTGTGTGTGTGTGTGTGTGACAGTGTTTGCATTTAGGGTTTTCTTCATGTAAGATCATATCATGTGCAAAGAACTAATTTTACT